CAATCAAAGGGTCAGAGGTTCGAATCTACAGGCCTTTCTGCAGGAGAGAGATGAGGTAGTCTCTTCCTGTAAACTTAGTCTTGGACACCAGATGGTAGATTGCCCTAAATTGGAACTGACCTTGACAGTAATGTGTTTGGGTTTGATTCCAGCCCCCTCCCTGCCACCCTCCACCTGCCGCCATGAGGTGGGGTCAGGTTTCCTTTAAAAAGCTTACTTGTCTTGTAGGGTGCTGAGACATATGCAGATAAGACACAATAAAAAAAAAAAAAAGAAAGAAAAAAGAAATCCCAAGTACTTCAGTAGAAGAACTAAAACATGTTGAGGTTTAGAGACGAAAACAAAGTCCTACCTAGTGACCTCTGAAAAGGGGTGGGGGTGTGAAGGAGATGGGGAAGGATGTGTGTATGGGGAGGTCACCCCAGGGCATCATTGGGATCATAACTGCATAGGCTGATTGCCTGTGATAAGCCCAAGTGCGTGACATAAGCACTCTGGCATTTTCTGAGAGCCTGTGTAGAATGCCACCAGGTCCACTTACCTCCCTCGCAGTGCCGTCCATTTCACTCGGCTCTCTAGTGCCGCCTAGCTGCCCTAGGAATATTTGTGTCTTTGCCTTTACAAACCCCTTCTTTCACAGTTCGAGCAGGAGGGACCCCTTCACCCACTTCTCCCAATTTGCTCAGCGGCTCTGAGAATATACAGTGCAGACCCCACTGGGTGAATCTTCTAATCAAAGGGGTCATGCAAAAACAACTGGTGAACTTCAATGATTTCTAAATTTGAAATTGCTAAGCCTAGAATGAACTAAGAAATACTTTTATTAGTTTCAGATCATGGTCAGTTCAAGAGGAATAGTAAGCATGAGAGAGAAAATAGCATAAAAAAGGTACAGATAGAGAAAGGAAACTCCAGAAGAGCTAGGAGAAGTGGGTGTGCAATAGAGAGGAGAAGACCAAGGTCAATGCTCTCAGTTGGCCCTGTTCTTGCGCTCCTCTGCCTTATAATGATCCCACTCCCACTCCCACCTCAACAAATACAGTGCTAAATTGTTGCCTAATTCAAATCTGGAAATAGAGGATTCCAAATTGTACTTCATCTTGCACTTTTCAGTCTATGTAGAGACGGAAGTGTACCTAGATCCTGCAGCTGTCCTAGGGCAGAGGAATCACACAATGGTATGAGCAGAAGTCTGTGGGTGAAGCTTCTGACACAAGGCAGACAATGGAGATCTATGAGGCTGGAGAGAAGACAGAAGCAGGGCTGTATCATGAGGCAATGGTGGTCTAGGTCAGAGGGAGTTGCGTTTCTAACCCAAAGATACAGCCTTTCTGTTGGCTCAAGTCCACCAGTAGCTTACAGCTTCCCTAAAACCCACTGACCGGTCAGCTGTGAATGAACTGGTTCTAACTCAAGAAATTTGAGTTGATTAGAATTCGTTGAGTTAATCAGTTTTCAGGTGAAGTCTTTATTTAGACTTTCACTCAGTATTTCCTTGATAATTTTTTTCTGCCTCAAATGATCTTGTTCTCTTTCTTGTTTTTCTATTAGCTCCATATCATATACCCTGATCCATTCTCCATATTTTTCTATCCAGTCTCTTATATTTTATCTATCTCTTCAATCAATGAATGAATTAAATAGTTTATTATGCCCAACTGTTGAGTTAATGCTTCCTCCTGCTGGAATTTTAAATGTAATATTTTCATCACATTTAATATTTCCTTATATAAAACTATGTCTTTCTTACAATGTTTTCTTTTATTCAACAAGCAGCAATATCCTTTGAATTTGGATGGCAACACATTTCAGATCTTCTGAAAAATTCTATTGTGTTCACAGGAAGATTTTTTAAATCTTTGGAAATCTGTGGTTTTCTTTTTGTGAGCTATAGAAACTCTTTATAATTCCTTTCCCACGAGTCTATAGTCTTACTGGAGAAGAGTTACCATTTCCTAGTATAGTAAATAAAGCCTCCTGGCCATTTCCACATGGACACAAGACAGCTGCCACAGTTGCTGGCATCACAGACATTCAAGGCAGGAAAAATGCAGAAAGCACGATACCAGTCATTCCTGTCCCATTTTCAGGAAAGCAAAATCTCTCCTAGAAGCTTCCCAGAAAGTGCACAGTGGGTAAAATTATGTCATGTTTCCTTAGTAAGAAAAGGAGCCCCAAGGACATAATGAGTAATGTTTTGGGCTGCTAACTGAAAGGCTGGCAGTTCAACTCTACCAGTTATTCCTCAGGAGAAAGATGGGCCATCTCCTCTGGTAAATATTTACAGCCTCAGCAATCCAATGGGAGGTTGCTTTGAATTGGAACATAGTTAATGGTGGTGGGAGGGTTCAGACAGATGTTGTTGTTGTTGTTGTTATGTGCCGTTGAGTCGCTTGCGACTCATAGCGACCCTATGTACAACAGCCCTAAACTCTGCTCTGTCTTGTGCCCTAAACTCTGCTCTGTCCTGTGCCAATCACACTGTCTCTGACACTCCCATCTGATTATCCCAGTCACTGAATTAATCCACTTCATAGAGGGCCTTCCCCTCCTGCGCTGTCCCCCCACCCTCCCAAGCATGATGTCCCTCTCCAATGACCTGTCCCTACTTACAACATGTCCAAAGTATGTTAGACGGAGCCTCAGAATCCTTGCCTCCAAGGAGCCACCCGGTTTAACCCTTTCCAGGATGAATCTATTTGTTTTCCTAACAGTCCATGGTATTCTCAATACTCTTCTCCAGCACCACAGCTCAAAGGCATCAATTCTCTTTCTATCCTCCTTGGTCATTGTCCAATTCCCTGGTAAAGTAAGTGTCAAGTTCTTTTAACCTAGAAAATGGAAGTGAGTAAAGAAGGAAAGCTCTAGGAATGGGTGTTGGTTACCAATCAACAGTGTTGGCCACGGGGCCTAAGGCTTGAGCTTTCAAAGGGCTCCTCTCCTTTTCCTTTCCTCGTCCACCTCCAGGAGAGGAACACTTCGCTTCAAGGGCCCTTTCGTGCTACATTCCAGACAAATAAGTCTATGCGCGCAACAATTTCTTCAACCCAATTCTTACAACATTAAGATTAGATTCAGAGAAAATTCCTCCAGTTTTTAGCATATAAGCAATACCTTATCCTCAGTTTCTAGTAATTGTGCAGATTTTTTCCACATTTATTTATCCTGGTGAGTAATGAGAATTTGTGAAAGGAAGAAGTGGAAAGGGCTGATGCCCATCTATGTGTCATGCCCCAAAGTGCACGTTTCTTTTTATCAATATTCTGTAACTCTCACTTGCCAACACTTCAACTGTCAGCTAGTTGATGGCGAGATAATTCATACTCAAGCTGCAACAGCAGTGGGATTCACAACAGGGGTATTGAGGGAGTAGTGGGTTGAGGGGAGGCTTCAGGCGGAAGAAAAAGAAACAGAAAGGTAAGAGGGAAAGTGCCAAATTCATTAATTTGGGTCCACTGACTTAGTGGTACACCAGGGCTCAACTTAACACCATCTCCTCACAGAGCTGAGGATTCTTTCCGTTTGTCCCCTGACATTCTTTCTTTGTTTGGATATTTAATCTTCTACCTTCTATCCTCATTTGATATATTTTTTTCCCTCTTGATCCACATAATCTAAAAAGACAGTTTTCTTTAGTATTTATTTTTTTTCTTATGGCAAAGTGGTTAAAGCACTTACTAAAGGTCAGCACTTTGACCCCACCAGCTGCTCTGAGAGAGGAAGATGTATCAGTCTGTTTTCCTACAAATTTACAGCCTCATAAACCCCAAGGGCTCAGCTCCACTCTGTTCTAGAGGGTTCATGTGAGTTGAATTGATTTGATAACATTTGGTTATCTTTGGTTATTATAAAAAGACAAAGGGAATATATAATTAGGTATTATTGGCATGACAAGGGCCCAGAATAAGAGCTGCATAGTAAAGTGGTCTTGGGGGAGGGGAGAGTGCTGTATAACAATGAAAAAACTTTTATTCCAAAGAAAAAAGTGAACTGGGGGCGGGAAGGGGAGATAGGGAGGCAAATGTGCAACAATGAATGAATGGAAATCCAAGTTCTTTAAAAACTTTCATTAAAATCTCAATTGAAAAATGTGTACTATAAATATTAAAACTTTATAGACATTAAGAAAAGTCAAAGAATCCCAGAGGTATGAGGTTCAAATCCACCAGATGCTCTGCTTAAGAAGGAGGAACAATCGCCTCCTGTACCTGTCAGATCTGATTTGACGGAACACACATTAAAAAAAAAAAAGTCAAAGGGAGATGTTTTCTATTCTTCTCCATGAAAATGAAGGGAAAAGCATTTATTTGTTTTAGGAAACACGCTTTTTAAATTAATTTTTAAAAATTTTACATTGGGATGGATACTAAAGTTGTATTATTTTGTGTTTTGTTTCTATACCTTTTAAAATTGCACCAGGTTCTAAATGGATTTTTCCTTGTGAATCTGAAATCTCAAATAGGAGAGAAATAAAGATGCCACTTTCCCAGATCAGGGGAAGAAATGAGAGTATCAGGGTGTAGGGGAAGAGGGAAGGGGTGAAGTCAACTTGAGGATGGGCTCCTGCCACAGTTCTGTCCATTCTAGTCACCTTCATACTGACCAGGAGCAGAGCTGTCCTCCTCCTGGACAGTGAGGAGGGAAGAACAGAGGAAGTCAGCTCACTAGGAACCCCTGCTTTTATTCTCAGTCGCCAACAAACAGGGAGCTCCAGTGGCCTAGTGTTAAGCAGCTGTGCTGTCAACCTAAAGGCACATGGTTGAAATCCAGCAGCTATTCCAAGGGAGAAAAACAGACAACCTCTTTCCATGCAATTTACTACCTCTGAAAACTCACCGGAGGGTAAGCTATGGGTTTGTTTCGACTTGACCGCACATAACAAGAACAGTTCCAATAAACAACATTGAAAAGAGGAAATCAGTAGAAAGTGAAATGAGAAATTCTTCATCCCCAGCAAAGTGTCTGGCAGACCGCCCTCCACCATTCTCTCCACAGCATACCTGGGGAATAAAGATGAAGCAGTTGATTGTAGTTGTGCAAACAAAGATGCCTCCAGATGTGAATCCGAAGACCAGGTTGGGCCAGGAGTGCAAGTATCTGGTGACCACAAAGAGAAGACCCGTGGCCAGCACCACGAGGTTGACCCCCACCATGATGGTTAAGGACTGGTTCACCGGAGGAGAACTGACGTGGTCAGTGAGGCCAGCCAGGTAGGCGCCATAGAGCAGGAGCAGACCCTGGAGGTGAAGAGCAGACTCAGTCTCTAGGAGCTGTGAAAACCAACTCACAGTCAAAGAGCAGTGACTACGGTAGGCTGAAGCCAATTTCCCCATTCACAAAAATGAGCTTACTAACATCTACTTTTCAGGGTTAATTAAAATTGTGTAAGGGAAAACCGTTAGGATAGTCTTTATATCTGGTAGGTGCTTAAGAAATTCTTTTCCTTTCCTTCTTCACTGAGAAGTCAGCCACCACAGGAATCCGCTGAAATGAGGTACAGGATGGGTAGGCAGGAGTCCCAGAGAAAGGGCTCCTGGGTAATAGGAGGGGAGAGGGAACAGCATGCTTCACAGGGTTAGGACCATGTCTCCAATGTGCAGTTTTGCATTACATGAAGTTAAGGTGCATGCAGAAGTGAAAATGGACTTGTGGTCTATGTCAAGGTCATAAGGTGTGGGAAGGGCCATGCTAGGGGAAAGGGCTCTTTTCTCTGATCTACTTGGAGGTTCCATCTACTCGTTAAGACTTGGATTTCATCTGCCTAGATTGGATTCTATTTTCTTTCTCACACAGAGGCTCTCCAGAGGCTCCCAGTAACTCTGTGGCATTGAGTGTTTGTGGAGGAAGAGGAGGATGAAGGAAAGGTGGACCTGGGTAATGTTAGGCAGAGGCAGCTAAGTTCTCACTTTCTTTGGGACCTTCTCTGACTCTATCCTGAGATAGGGGACTATTCTTCACCCTTGCCCATAAACAGAAACCTGCTGTCAGATGCCTGATTTGTACGAAGGTGAAAATGGCTCAAAGTATCTTAAAGTGCTATCTCTCTTAGGAGAAAAACAGAAATCATCAAAGCTTTGAAGCAATAATATGTGAATTTGTTATAAATTTACCCATGTAATGTGCAAAAGTAGCTGTAAGGTGTAGGCAGGAACTAGTGGAGAATTAACAGAGATGTGGTGGCTTACTGGTAAGAAGCTGGGCTGCAATCCCAAAAGCATGGGCTCAAATCCACGAGTTGCTCTGTGGGAGAAAGATGCGCAGTTGCTTCCCATGTGATTTACTGCCTCTGAATACCCAGGGGAGGGTCCGCTATAGATCAGATCTGGCTCACTGACACACAACAATAACAACAGTGATGTAAGTTTTGTCAGGTATCAGAAGGCACCCTGAAATCACATACCTAGCCCAACTCCTACAAAGACAGCCCAAAAGAGAATTTTTTTGTTGTTGTTGTTATTTTGTTTTAGAACTGATTGTACCGGCAGCAAAGAGATCAGTAGAGATATGCATTCCACTATCCCTAAAGCCCACTATGCCACATGGGGCTCAAGGGGCAAACAGGACCCTCCTGGGATGTTCACCAACTTGAAGATTCAGAAGTTGAGAGTTGAGGAGAGCCTGACTTTTGGGTACCTCAGGCCACCAGGAACATTTGATGAAAACTGGATCCATTAGTAATTTAATCAAAGGTGAATGAAATTAGGTCCATGACTTTATTCAAATTAAATTCTACTAAAATAGCTTCTTTTCATTAAAATTCTTGCTAAAGGGAAATAGGTATGAATAAAACCTCCTTATTTCCATGACTCATATTTGAGTCACATCCCATACTTTTATGACATTCACTTTCACGGTTGAGAAGTGTGGGCTAGTGAGGCAACTGACAGTTTCAAGCAGGGGGTCCTTCAGGTTAATATGAAGATTTGGGGGTGCTCCTTGGACACTCTTCACAGCCTGAGGTGCCTGTCGGACTTGGTTCATTAGTTTCATGATGCTTGGCACTCTCACCCTTTTATATTTTGTCCCACAGAAAAATACTACAGAAATACAAGAAGGAAACAAAATTATATAAAAGGCAATGGAGAAAAGATATCAATTTGAACTGTGGAGTGAGTTGCTAGGCAAGAAGCAGTGGGCTTCTGTGCTCAGGAGGACAAGCTCTTCTAAAGAGTTCAAGAGCTCAAGAGCTGGGAGAAGACTGTATTTTCCAGAGCTGTTCAGGGGGCAGAAGGCTCACAACACCTAACATTTCTGATTTCTTTCTGTGGACCCCGAAACTTTTGGAAACTTTCTACATTTCTGAACTCTTTCAATACACAGCGATTCTGGAAGGATGTTAACATCATCTCCTTTGTATGTATGAGGGAAATGGAGGCTCCAAGAGGTGAGATGAGAGTTGGGGTTAGCTAGAAAGGGGCTGAATCAGAACTCCAATTTAGTTCTGTCAGATTCTGAAGCTCATTTTCCTAATCAATACCAAGAAACTAGAATAAGAGCTATTCACCTCTTAATCTAAAAAAGATTTCTATCAGAGTAATTTATGCATATAGTTAAAAACAACATTTCTCTTCCCTAGCCCTTCCCAACACTAGGCCTGTTACTCAAAAGCAGAGCATCTAGTACTTTCCTTGTGATTAAGTGGTAATAGTTCAACTTTAAAGCCACATATTTTTTTTACAAGGAGCCCTGGTGGTGCAAATGGTTAAGTAATTAACTACTAACTGAACAGCTGATGGTTCAAATCTACCCAGAGGCTCTTGACATCTGATTTTGAAAAGTGACAGCATTGAAAATCTTATGAAGTAGTTCTAGTCTGTACACCTAGGGTCACCATGAGTTGAAATGAATTTCATGAAAATTAACAACAACATTTTTATAAAAACTCCATCTTTTTGCTAGCAATTAACCAACCAAGACTTCTGTCTTAGTAGTCAGCAAGCAGCCCACTGACACTCAGGACTTGCTTTATTCACTGACACAGACAATCCTGTACCTCCTCAAAGCCAGATTCTCTGTTATTCTAAGTTGAGAAATAGTTAATAGGATAATGAGTTCTGATGTAAAGTGTCAGACCTCCCTCAGGGCAGCATAGATAAGATAGCTTCTGGAAATAATGTCCCATTTGATTATCCAATAGAGATAAATAAGCATATTGGTGAAGAGACTGAGATTGTTCACAGCTTCAGTTTGCTTGGCTCCACAGTCAACGCTCTCGGCACCAGCAGCCAGGAAATTAAAAGGTGCACTGCCATGGGAAAGTCTGCTGTTAGGGGCCTCCAAAGTACTGAAGAGTAATGGTGTCTCTTTGGAGACTAAGGTGCACCTGATACAGGCCATGGTCTTTGCTATCACTTGTATGCATCAGAGAGTTGGACAATGACTAAGGAGGATAGAAGGAGAATTGATGCCTTTGAGCTGTGGTGCTGGAGAAGAGTATTGGGGGTACCATGGACTGCTAGGAAAACAAACATTCATCCTGGAAAGGGTCAAACCAGGCTGCTCCTTGGAGGCAAGGATTCTAAGGCTCCATCTGACATACTTTGGACATGTTGCAAGGAGGGACCGGTCCTTGGAGAGGGACATCATGCTTGGTAGTGTGGAGGGACAGCGCAGAAGGGGAAGGCCCCCTATGAGGTGGATTGATTCAGTGGTTGGGGTTAATCAGGATGGGTGTGTCAGAGACGGTGCGATTGGCACAGGATAGAGCAGAGTTTAGGGCTGTTGTACATAGGGTTGCTATGAGTCACAAGCGACTCGACGGCACATAACAATAACAACAACAACAACAACAACATTGGTGATATATTCAGGAAAGACAGGTGTAATACTGATATGGGAGATACTGTGAGGCAGCTGGAGCCTCTCAGAAGGCATCATGGAGGTTCCCACCTGTCCTGAGGTAAGCCCAACTTCCAACCACAGTGAGAAGGTCAGATGGGTGAAAGGCAGCATGAGGCTGAAAGAGAACAAACCAAAAGGGGCATAATATCTCTTTACAATTCCCTGGGAAAGGAAGTAGGAGAGAATAGTGGTATTGCCAAATCAATCTACAAATCACACCAAAAAATTGAAGAAACAGTAAGTGAATTTAAAATGATTTAGGAGAGGAATGAATATGGGAGTTTCAGAGTTGGAAAAGTGAACCCCAAAACAAATAAAACAAAACTAGACAAAATAATAAAGGCCACTGGCTTTGAAATTTATGTATTTATGTATTAATGGAGGTCTCTTCTGAGTTAAGATTCTTTGGAGACAATACCTCGTTAATACCTGTAATTTTGTCCCCATACTCATCTTGTTGGTGAAATATAAGAGACTATATTTCAAGGAGACGGGCTTACCAACCTTACATCCCAAAATGAGAGCAATCCAGATATCAGCGTAGACGGAAGCACAGAAGTGTGTGCTGGTCAGAGAGCAGGACACGTCCTTCCCTGTCACCTGGGAGGGACACAGAGTCAGGACTGAGAGCACCCACAATTTTAAGGAACACACAGCAAATTTTTGGGAACCTCCTAACCTGGATACTCCATTACAGTATCTAGTGTCCCCCTTGTTGTTGTTGTTAAGTGCTGTCGAGTTGTAGGCAACTCCTAGCGATCCAATGAATGAAAGACCTGAACACTTGCATAACTTTCATCCTTTCTCTAGGTTCATAGAGTTTCCAGAGGCAAGCTATTTCAGAAGTGGATGCCACTCCTGTTTCCAAGCTTGTTTTAATTGGGGAGCTCCACCTAACACTATCCACCATGGGTAACCATTTTTACAAAAAAGGATCCCTGGTAGCACAATGGATTAAGCATTGGGTCACTGATCAAAAAGTGGGTAGTTCAAACCTGCCGAATATTGTATGAGAGAAAGAGAAGGCAGTGTATTTCTGTAAAGATACACAGTTTTGTAATCCCTATGGGACATTTCAGTTTTCTGGGGCTGTTATAATGAGAATTAACTCAATGGTAGTGGTTTGTGCAGAAATTAAGTAATGAAAAAGAAAAAGCCGGCTTCATTAGAAACTAAATGAGAAGAACTATGGATCTGAGGAAAACACAACAAATTTGGGCTGATATGTGAATCCTCTGTAACAGCAGAGTTTTACCTCTCACTTCTGTCTATGCTTATGTTGCCAACTCAAAGGCAGGTGGTTCAAATCCACCAGGCGCTCATTGGTAGAAGGTTGCAATCTCTTCCCATGTAATTTATAGCCTCTGAAAACCTGCTGAAGGGTCAGCTATGAGTCAGTTTCAAGTTGAAAGTAATGAGTTGAATTGAATTCTGTCCTTTATGCTTATATTGACTCAAATTAGTGTGCTACCAAAATTACTGTTATTTCACACTGTGGACCTGAAATTCAAATAGTTGCAATCTTAAACATTAAATCTATTATGTCAAGATTCCACTGTGGCTTAGTGGTAAGGAGCTGTGCTGCCAACACAAAGGTCTGAATCCATCAGCTGCTTGGGAAAAGAAAGATGGGCAATCTCCTCCCATTCCATTTACTCCCTCTGAAAACCTGCTGGATGGGCAGCTATTACTCAGTTCCAACTTGATGGTACTTAACAACAAGGACAATGTACCAGGCATAATTAAGCTGTTCACTGCACTGGTTAGCTTTATCTTCACCACAACTCCATAAAATAGGTAGTACTATCTCCACTTTATCTACAAGGGACAGAGGGTTGGAGGTTAAATAACTTTGCCAAGGTCACACTTTAGGTAAATGGGAGTTGAAATCTGATTAAAGTGGACTGATTTAAAAGACCACCTTAAAATGCCAACTCTTCACAAACAGGGAAAGACAACTTCCCACTGCTGAAAGTTCTCATTATTGATGAAATGGAAGCAGAGGTCGATGCCAGGCAGGTCTCAGTGTGCTGACATCTCAGTCCGTGAAAAGACACTCGCAGTGTGAGGGGCAGTGGGAAGGGGAGCACATCCTGCTGTCAAGGGTTAAGACCTCCATAGCTGTCACAACTCCCAACTCTCCTTGCTCTCTGGGTTAGTTCTGTCCTTGTTGGGTGGATGAGTGCTCCTGGGAGAAGGACCCCTGTGTATCCCCAGAGGCTATTTCAGTCAGAAACATGATTCTCCAGAGTGAAACCCTCACCGTCATACTGACACCAAGGATCTGAAGGCACCGGATGGGATCAGTCAGCACCCACGTCAGGAGTAGGATCACATCAGCAATCACCAAGGCTGCCACCAATCCCAGCAACTGCAGGTCTTTAATAATCTGCAAAACAAGTCAAAGTTGTAACTTTCCTGTGCTCCCTGGGGAGGAGCCAAGTGACTCACAACACCTGCTGCAAGTTCCAGGTCAGCCCTCCCCAGAACTTCCTTGCAGCTACTGAACATCTACAGTGACTTCTCGGTTGATATCATCATTATCACCATTTAACATTTCCATTTGTTGATCTTGAAAATATAAATCATCTCTTGTTCCACTATTGTTGCTGTGTGATGTCGAGGCAGAACTGATTCACGGCTGACCCTCCTGGGTTTTCAGAGGCTGTAAATCACATGGGAAGAGAAGGCCCATCTTTCTCCTGTGTAGAAACAAACCACCTGCCTTTGAGTTGGCAGCCCAATTTCTTACCACTAAGCAACCAGAGTGTCTATAAATTCTAGAAATATTTATACCAACACATAGTGAGATGTGAAAGTTTAGCACCAAATTGTTAACAACTGTTGCCTCAGAGGGTAGGAGTGAGAGATGGGGCGGGGGAAGGAAGGATAACTAGTATATTTTTATACATCTATAAATTATTTAACGTAACACCATGGCAATGTGTTACTTTAGTGATTACAAAAATATAATTAGGAAAATATGTACGTGCTGAAGCAGAACAGAAGAAATTGGAAAGTAACAAAGGAAAGAGAAGATGAGAAGAATTATGATGTCCCAGAAGAGGAGAGTAGGTAACATTCACGAGATGGACCTGACCTGAAATGTGCACGGCAAATTATATGACTCATGTTCTTTACAAGAAAAAAACTGTTTGGCTAACCAAATTTTTCAAAATTAGTGATAAAGAACAAATCCTAAAAGCAGCCAGAAGAAAAAGACATATGATACATAGACAAAGAAAGAGAAATGAGGAAGTCATCAGGTTCTCATCAGATGCAAGGTAAAGTGAAAAGAAGCACATCTTCAAAGGGCTGGGGGTAAAAAAAGAAAAAAAGAAACCAAATCTAAGAATCCTATGTCTCCTTCCCATTGCCACTGTGTTGGAACGGACTCATAACTGACTTTCCAGCAAGTTTTCAGAGGAAGACTCATCAATAACATTTGTTATGCAGATGACATAACATAGCTTGCTGAAAGTGAGGAGGAGAGTTGAAGCACTTGCTGCAGCAGATTAAAGACTGCAGCCTTCAATATGGATTGCATCACAATGTCAAGAAAACAAAAATACTAGCTACTGGACCTGTAGGCAATATCATGACAGATGGAGAAAAGACTGAAACTGTCAATGACTTCATTGTATTTAGATCCAAAATCAATACATTTGATATTAGCAATCAGGAGATAAAGAGACAGATTGTATTTGGAAAGTCTGCAGCCAGAGACTTCTCTAAATTATTGAGGAGCAGTGAAATCAGTTTGAGGACTAAGGTGCTCCTGATTCAGACCACAGCACTTTCAGTGACTTGCTATGCATCTGAGAACTAGACAATGACTAAGGACGACAAAAGGAGAATTGGTATCTTTGAACTATGGTGTTGGAGAAGAGTGCTGAAGATCCCATGGACTGCCAAAAGGACAAAGAGATATGTGTTGGAGAAGGTGCAGCCAGAGTGCCCCTTGGAGGAAAAGATGATGAAGCTTCATCATACTTAGAGCATGTTGCTAGGAAAGATTACTCTTTAGAGAGGAACATCATGCTTGGGAAGGTGAAGGGATGATAAAGGAGAGGAACACCGTGAACCAGGTGGATTGACACAGTAACTGCAGCAATAGACTTGAGGGTGTCAGAGACTGTGAGGATGGCACAGGTTAGGACAGGGTTCAGATGTTGCTCATAAAGTCATTCTGAATTGTACTTGACTTGTTGGCACCTCACAACAACAATAAATAGCACTGGAGGAAAAGTGCCCATCTTTTCTCCTGCAAAGCAAAGTAGCTGGTAGATTTAAACTGCTCCCCTTTGGATTGGCAGTACAGTATCTTTCAAAAAGCAAAAGCACAATAAAGAATTTTTCAGACATACAAAAATAAATGTAGAAAAATGAATCATCACAAGACTCACAGAAGAATATTAAAGGAAGTCTGTCAAAAGGAAAGTGACATGAGATAAAAGAAGGATCGGTACACAAAATTGAAGAGCACTGGAAACAGTAATTATCGGAAAATACATGATTGATGTTGGGGCTTATATGATATGTGAAAGTAAAATGCATGCTACGAATAGCACAAAATTGGGAGGGAAGAAAATAGAAAATGTGTTAACTGAACATGAATGGTAATTCCTAAAGCAATCACTAAAATAAAAAAAAAAGGGAGCTATCATTAATAAACCAAGAACTGATCCATAGCTGGTCCTCCAGCAGGTTTTCAAAGGACGTAAATTGCATGGGAGGAGACTGCCCATCTTTCTCCTTTGGAGCAGCTGGTAGATTTGGACCTTGTATATTTTTGTTGGCAGTGAAATTCCTTACTACTAAGTTACCAGAGCTGTTCAAAAGATTGTTAAATATTATAAGCTAAAGAGTATATAAAAAGCTCAAAAGCAATCAGTAGAATAACAAAAAAAGAAGCCAAAGCTAATAAACCATGAAGAAAAAGAAAAGAAGATAATAATAAACATTAAAAAAAATGCCAGAGAAAATGAAACAAAGAGAAATATATTAATAATATAATGGATTGAACTAAACAATCACATTTAATAAATACAAAAGTCTGAATACTCTGGTGGCCTATTGGCAAGACACTGCACTGCAATGCCGAAGGAGTGTAGTTCAAGGCCACCAGCTGCTCCATGGGAGAAGGATGGGCAATCTCCTCCTGTATGATTAACTGCATCTGAAAACCCGCCGGAGAGTCAGGTATGGTTCAGTTCTAACTCTATGGTACATAACAACAACAAAGTCAGACTGGATTAATAAAAAAGCAAGACCCAACTATATGCTGTTTATAAAGTATATTTTAAATATAAGTACAAGCAAAATAAAAGTAGCATCTAGCACACTAATACTAAAACACAGAAAGCAGTGTAAGAAAATACTATAAGGGAGTATTATGAACAGGTTTATGCTAATTCATCTGACAACTTAGATGCAAGGGGAAAATCCCTTGGAAGGTATAAATTACTGAAACATTTACTATGCAGGCATGGCTATATTGATATTGGATCAAATATGTTCTGTTACTGTTGTTGTTAAGTGCAGTCGAGTCGTAGGAGACTCATAGCAACTCTGTGAATGAAAGGCCTGAACACTTGTGTAACTTTCATCCTTTCTTCAGGTTCATAGATGTTCCAGGGTCACCTATTTTGGAAGTGGATGCCACTCCTGCTTCTAAGCTTGTGTTACTCAGGGAGCTGCACCAAACACTGTCCGCCATGGGTAACCATTACCACATTTGGCACATCAGTGTCACAGTGTTCAGCTTCACAGCGACCAAGAGTTACCTCTGTACAGCAAGTAGACAGAACAGGACTATATGACCTAGAACAATGTTTGGCCAAAAACAATTGAAACCAGGCCTGAGAGCCCTAATAAGTTCTAGAAAGAAAAACATTACTAGGAATAAGGAAGATTATTGCAAAATAATGAAGATATTAATTATTCAAGAGGATAGAACTATATTATGTTTCTTTATTTAATACTAGAACTTCATGAAATGAAATTGATAGAAATCTAAGAAGAAAATTTCAAATCTTAATTATAGTCAGAAATGTCAGTGTTATTGTTGTTAGGTGCCACTGAGTCAATTTCTGACTCACACAGACCCTATGACAGAGCAGAACTCGATCTACAGGGGCTTTGTGGTTATAATCTTTGCATGAACATTTTTCTAAGTTTTCCTTACATGAAGTCACTGAAGGGGTCAGATCTGCCAATCTTTTGGCCAAGCCACAGAACTCCTTCAAAATTTAAATACCTTTCTCTTAGTAATTGTTAAAACAAGTAGACAAAAAAAGTAGTGTGTTTGCACACCCATGTTTATCACGGTTTTGTTCACAATAGCAAGGAGTTGGAAACAACCCAGGTGCCCATCAACAAACGAATGGATAGAGAAGCTGTGGTATATTCACACAATGGAATACTA